TAGCATGAAACGATGCAATAACACCTCCACCAATAATAATAATGGTTTGTATTTATCAAGCACTTTCCATGTGCCAAGCACTATGTGTGCTGTACGTGGATTAACTCTTTGACTCCTTACTACGGTAGCATGGGATAGACTGTTTTCACGCCCAGAGCCACAAGAGAAAGTTAATGCTTTGAGAGTTAGCAATTCATTGCTGCACAATGAGTTATAACAAAACTTAGCATCTGGAAACCCCAGACATCATTACCTCATAGCTCTTCTGGGTCCTTGAGCAGCTTAGCAGGGTAGTTCTGGCTGAGTCTCTTATGGGGCTGCAGTTAAGATGCTGGCCAGGGCGGTAGTCATTTCAGTGTTTAACTAGGATGTCTGCTTCAGAGCTCACTCACAGGCATGCATCAGAAGCGCCCAAGCTCATTCACATAGACCTCTTCGAGGGGCTGCCTCAGGACCTCGCAGTTGGCTTCCCTGAATGCAAGTTCTCAAGGAGCACCCAAGATGGAAGCCACTGTCTTTTTATAATCTGGTCTTGACAATGATGTTTATCACTTCTATCATATTCTGTTAAAAGCAAGTCCCTAAGTCCAGCCCACCTTCAAGGGGAGGACACAAATTCATGAGCAAGACACAAGCACACCCAGGTGCTGATGAGTTGAGTTACCTTAGAGGTTGTCTACCACAGGGGAAGTGGCTTATCCAAGCTCTTCCAGGCTGGAGATGGTAGACCTATAATGCAAAACTATCCAGTTTGGTTCCAGGGCTCATGTTCGTAACCAGTGTGACCCCTACCTGTAAATACCTGGGCAATAATTACTCTGCACAGGACAACAGCCTTTCAGATGGCTGTCATGTTGGGAGCGTGGGGCTGGTGGGTCAGAGACAACACACGTAAGAACTGACTTTCATAGGTGTGACGCACACCCAGTATGTTGTCAAGTTTTGACAAGCAGAAATAATCTTCATGTTATGCTCAGTGCATAGGGAACAAACCAGGACCCTCCCTCTGACCTTTCTACAGCTTCAGAAAGTACATATGACTGCCAGGGAACATTACATGGGAACAAAGATAACCTTGAATTCACTCTAATTTGGGAAAAGTCAAACCCACTCAAGCTTTTGAACTTGTGGTAATGAATTATGTGAAGCACCCCTCACACTTGATTGTGACAAACTGTGGCTTCATATTCCTGAGATGCAGCATTAGTCTCAGGGGCACGTTGGCTCGATGAGGAGTTGGTGCTATGTCTTGAAAGCTGTTAGGAGCCACTGAAGTGTTTTAAGTATGAGATGATGACATAATTGGATGTGTACCAGCTGCTCAGAGCTACGTGACTTTGTCTAAAGCATCAGATGACATCCTACTTGCTCATGCGTGAGACAGCAGATGCCTCCTTTACACCCCACCAAATTCATTCATGTTGGTGTAATGAGATTTATATATTTCTTCTATCTGCAGATTGTTCAGAGTCCCTGTCTCAGGATAGCTGTGTCTACCCCTCTCTGAGCACATAAAGATCTTTGTGGCTGCAGCCATGGCTGCAATCTTTCTAAAGCACAGACTCATCACCTCATCCTGGGTCTGTTGTCTGGTGGCAGTCACACTGTTGACACCTAATAAGGGCTCATGTTCTTAACCACAATGTGACCCCTACATGGAAATACCTGGGTAATAATTACTCTGCACAGGACAACAGCCTTTCAGATGGCTGTCATGTTGGGAGCGTTAGGTCAAAGAACACTGTTAAGTCAAAGCAAGCTAAATTTGATTGGACACCTATTACCTGGTACCTATTACCTGTGCTGAGCTCTGGGTAGACAGAAATAAGATAAAGTAATTGATTTTATTACTAAAAAGTCATGACTGTATCTATTCAGTCAGTTTTTCATTCAGTAATCAAACATTTTTGAATTCCTGCTGTGAACATGGCATTCTGCTGGATGCTGGAATACAACATCCAGCTACACATGGCCACTGTTAGCGAGTCCAAACTCATTCTGCCACTGCAGGACAGGCCAATAAATCTGGAATAGGTGTTGGGCAAGGAATAACGACTTTATTCAGAAACCCAGCAGACCAACAAGATGGGGGACTCATGTCATAAAGAGCCATCTTCCCCAAGTCAGAAATCAGGTTCCTTTTATACTAAAAAGAGGAGGAGGTGGTGTTAGTGGCTGCAAACTTTTTGGTGTCAGAATTCTTTGTTTTTGCAACTATTCACATAGGTCAGGTCATGATGTTCCTGTCACCTCAAACTAACGTTATTGTCTGTTCTGCAACTTTTTATCTCTGTATGAATGGGAAAGTGTTACATCCTTAAAGGTCAGAACCTTGAGAATGGGCTCTCCTGTAGATTTCAGGCTCCAGGCAACATTCTTTTACAAAAGGTGCAGAACCAGCAAGACTGAGCATGGGAAACAGAGCACAGGGTTAGAGCTACAGGAACAAATTCAGAATGGAGGCAGATTGGTTCTTTGCTGTTGCACCATCACTCTTAGAGATTCTGTAAACACTAGGGGAGACAGAACAGCATATGATGGTTCTAGCTTAGACAGAGAGGCATAAACATCAGCAAAGGGAAAGACCATGTAAGCGGTCAAGGGAGACATCTTGGAGGATAGAACTTCTGAGCTGTTTGGAAGAATGAACGTGAGGATGAAGGGAGATGCAGCTCCATCAAACATTGGGGTGCTGGTTTGTTAAGGCTTGGGGAGAGAGTTGAGGCTGTAGGAGAGGAAAAGAATATAAGTAGGGGATTCTGCTCCCTCCAAACGGAAATGCAGAGCCAAGCATCACTTCCTCTCTGCTGCCTTTGTGTCTTTCCAGCTGTCTATGAGCAATCCTGTGAGGCGTACAGGCACCAAGGCAGCACAGCTGGTTTCTTCTACATCGACTCAGATGGCAGTGGTCCCCTGGCACCCTTCCGAGTGTACTGCAATGTCACAGGTAAGTGTACAAAGTCCCCACTCATGCTTTATGTTGCGATGTGATGGTGCAGAGCAAAGGGAAAGCCACCAGAAGAGGACACTTTTATAAATACGAATTTAAAGGACCAACTTTGGCGAGGGGTCTGGCAAATGGCATTCAGGTAAATAATCAGAATTAGCAGTTAGGTTGTTTTTCATGGTTGAATTGAAGACACCTTGTTGATGATGGTTTTGATAATGATCCACTGAACCAAGAGTTAATTATCCAGCATTTTCTCCCGCGCTTGCCAAGGACACTTCTCTGCTAAAGGTCAAAAGCAGAAAGAAGAGGAAAATTACCAAACAAATAAAAACCAATTGTCAAAATCAGTAGGAAACTCTGACTCAGGAAGTGGGAAAGCTCGATGTGGGTCTGACCCTGAGGGCTGTGCAATTCCCACCTGCCCTCTGAGCTGCAGTCCCACATCTGTGAAATGGGAATGGTACCTCCAGCCTCCTGGAGCGGTGAGATTAGACACAGTTACGTGTCTTGGAGCAACCTGCCAGGGGAATTATCCAGTAAGTGCCTAACAACAAAAGTGGACTATTTCTGTCTTCCCTGCCAACCGCATAATATCTTGCCACTTCTTTCTAAATTACATAAGGACATAGTAAGAGTCAATTATTATGCAGGGTTAGAAATAGCACGTGATCACTAATTTATTCTACAAAAAAATTCCACACCCCAAACCTGATGTAACAGTTATTTAAAAATACAGTATGTGAGCGCTCTCTCCACTGCGTGTATTATTAATCGGCACGTACAGGTTTTTTGCCAGTTTGTTTTAAGCACTGGCCTTTGAAGATGCCGGCAGAATTGTGCAATGAAGCAGGGAAGTAGGGGCCTCTTAAGGGCCTTTGAGTCCCCAGGACCCAGGCTTCTTGGCAACGTGGTGACCACACCCGTGTGGCTCTTTCTGTAGCCAGAAAGGGACCTGGGATATGCAGGGAAATGACACAAAGTCATTGTCATTCATGAGGTGGTAGTATTGGGGGGAAAAAGTGCAATATCACAGGTAGAAATGCGGGCAAATCATTGCCAAAATGGTACTTAAGGACACTTGGCCATTTGCTCATCTGAACACAAAGGGCCACATTTTCCCTGCAGAGAATGCTGGTGACATGGAATTGGATGCTATTTCATTTCCGTGATAATTTTCTCTCTCCAAAATGTGTGCTTACTGCTTCTCAATAGCCCTATAATGTAATTAGAAATTGCATGATTGTTTTCTTTGCAGGGTTGTGCTGGGCACTAATGTCCTATACACCTGGTCAGGAAGAGGGCTCCTAGGTAGATGTCAGTTACTTTCAAAATGTAATTAACATAGGGATCTTGGGGAAATCATGCTAAAAAGAGACCTCCCGGACCCTGAAATTCTAATTCAGTCAATGCACCTTTCCTGAGCTTTCCAAGTGATTCTGATGCAAATTTTCCCTGGTCCACCCTTTACAAAGAAATGGAGGGAGTGATCTGGTTGCAGAATAAGGCAGAGGAGACCAGTGCCCGCTGAATGGTGGGTGTGATGGCAACAGCAGGACTAGCGGTGATGCGTAGCAATTCCTCAGCCTGTTTCGTCTTTGGGAACTGAACTGAGAATTGACAAATACCATCCCTTTTAATCCTTGCAACAAAAATCTGAGGCAGATATTTTTTCACTCTTATCTTACATTGAAGGAAAGGGAATGTGAGAATTTCATGACTTGCTTGAGGTAATAAATACTGGGTCTAACAGTCAAGACTCAGGAAGCCAACAAAACCTGGTGCAGTAATCACCTGTATCGCTGAAACATTGATTGGGTACTTTGAATTGCACATGTTTTGCTTTAAATGGTACTTTTTAATAAAAAAAATAATAATCCATGATAAGTATAGAAAATTTAAGGAAAAAAGGAAAATATGGAGAAATGTTAAATTCATCTTATAAACCACGATCCAAGGATTGCTATTGATATTTTATTGTTAGAATTTCCTTGGGATTTTTCTTTCTATGCACGTATATGTGTGCTTTTCTCTGAATGTGTCCTTTTCTAAATACATATTTTGACGTTATGCATTTAATAGACAAACATAGACATGGCCTTACATCATGAAAATATATTGTGAAATTAAAATATATACATTAAATATAGCTTCAAATTTAACTCTCCAACATAATGTAAGTATATTGACACAGAGGGTCTAGCTGAGTCATGGAACCCTCCGCCTCTCTTTGGAAAGACTTCTCTCAGGGTTTATGTTTGCTATTTTGTCCAGGGATGGCTATAGATGAATATTTACTTTTTCGGTAGAGGGGAAGGAATTAGGTCAATTTATTTATTTTTTCAGAGGAGGCACTGGGGATTGAACCCAGGACCTTGTGCATGCTAAGCATGCACTCTACCACTTGAGCTATATCCTGCCTCGCGAATATTTACTTAAGTTGCTGTTTTGCTGATGATCTCAAAGAAATCAGGACCTCTACATTGTGTCCCGGAGTTGATAGGCTGTATTGTGCATAACTGGAGATTTCTTTAAAGATGCTCTTCTGGTCATATGCAATTGCAAAGTATGTAGGTTTTTCGGTTTTGGTTTTGGTTTTCTAAAATACTTGTAGCAGTAAAAGCAACCTCTGTGTAGGCTGAAGTATATCATTCCCTGTATTTAAATGACAAACATTTTTAGTACATAAATATGATGCTGATCAAATACATATTGTTCTTAGTAAATGTTAAGCGTTCTTAAATAGGAGTGACTTATGGCACTAGGAAAAGTGTGGCAAAGTGGTCCAGGGAAGACAGTGATGGAGGAGGGAGGAGGAAAGAAGGGAGAAGAGAGGAGGGAGGAGGTGGGAGGGAGAAGATGGCCCAGGAAGACTTGCTCTGTGTTTAACTCCAGTTTATAAAAGCACGACGCTGTTGTTCTCCGCACCTTTCAGGGGCATCACTGGTGTAACAATGTGGGCAGCGTAAGCAGCGCTGGGAGGCAGGGCGCCTGGGTTCTCTTTCTCTCTGCACTTTGTGCTGCTTGGCTGAATGCTCCCCACTGGGCTGTGCATCTCTGAAATAGGGGACTGGGGCCAAGGGGTCCCACACACCTTCCTCATTTAGAATTCCTCGAGATCATCTGAGTATAAAAGGAAAAGAGGATATTTCTCCTCAGTCTGCAGAGACTTGCAGGTGAATGTTGTGAGGATGAAGGACAGGTTTTAGTTGTGGAAAACTGCACTTGAATCCCAGCTGCGTCTCTCTTTATGTTGTGCCCCGGGGGAACATTAGCTCCCCATTCCTAGAGGTGAGGCTGTACCTTACCCATCCTGGGAGATCTCAGTCTGTGCGTCTCGCCTGCACAGGGTGATCCTGGGGAGATGAGGTCCCTAAAAGCCCAAGGAGCAACTACCCGCTTTGATGTAAGGCAGTATGATCTCTGCATGGGGACAGTAGGGCGAATTCTGGGAGTAACAAAGTGGGTGGTTAGGCTCATTGAGGAAGTGGACGGAATGTTGGCCTCCACGCCCAAGGCTGGGTTCTAGGTCACTTCACCACGGGACTAGGGGTGGCAGAGAGGGAAAGCCCAGCCTCTGGAGGGAGGACTGAGTGAAATGGATGAAAAAGAGAAAGAGTAAATTTCCTCGGGGATACACATCGGCCTGCTTTCACCTGCCTATCAGTGACTCACAGTTCATTTCAGCTCAAGATAATTTGGTCTGTTGCAAGCACCAGGCAAACTGCAAAGGATACAAAGTTGTGTCTGCATTAGTAGCTTTGGGCTTCTGTAAAATGTTCTGCAAATTGAGTGGTTTGAAAAAACCCAGAAGTGTATCGTTTTACAGTTCTGGAATGTAGACGACAGAAGTGAAGGTGCCGGCATGGCCACACCTGCTCTGAAACCTGTAGGGAAGACTCCTTCCTTGCCTCTTCCAGCCTCTGGTGGTTTGCCGACTCCTTGGGTGTTCTTAGGTTGCAGCACCAGCACTTCGATCTCTGCCTCCAAGAGGTTGCCTCCCCGCTTCCATGTGACTGCACTGTAGGTGACCTTTTCCTGTCATCTCTCTGTGTATCTGTTTCTTCTCTTCTTATAAGGACGTCCACCATGTTGGATTAGGGTCCAACCTAATGGAGTATGACATTGTCTCAATGATTGCATTTGCAAAGAATCTACTTCCCATTAAGGTCACGTTCTTAAGTACTGAGGGTTAGGGCTTTGGGATATCATTTTAGGGGGCACAGTTCAGCCCATAACAGTATCATTTCAGCCTCTTTCACAGGCTAATCATGGAGAAGACACAGCAACAGTGGAAATACAATGTGTAGTGTGTGTTGGGAGCCCACAGGAGGGTCACCTAACCCAGCTTCCCATGAAAGAGACATTGGGAAGGCAGGTAATGTCTCTGAGACCTGGATGGAGCATAGGAGTTGGCCAGAAGAAGGGGCAAAGGAAGACATTTCTAGGAAGAGCAAATAAATGTCAGGACCAAGGTTCTGGGTCCCTTGAGTCTGCATTTCTATGGGGGCCACCAAACTCTCCACGATGACTTGCTAGTTTAGGATGTTGCAGCAAAGTGTGTTACAGCTCAGTGGTATAGCTCAGTGTTACAGCTCAGTTGTGACAGCAACATGGATCCGGGCAAGGGACCAAGCAGCACTCAGAGAGTTGGAGAATTCAGGTTTATTACACCAGCGGGCCCAGAGGAGTTAACACTCCAAGCTCTGGCCCTGTCTGCAGGTTTACACAGGCTTTTATAGGCTACCAGTCTAGACTTTGCAACATTTTGTAACATCATATGCAAATAAGGTATAACAAAGATGACTAATTAGGGACAAACTTTGTAGAAATGGACCAATCAGGAGTGAGGAAAATGGACCAATCAGGAGTGAGTTCCATGCAACTAAAGCACTAAAAATGGACCAATCAGGAGTTAGCTCAGGGAACCAATAGCATCTTAGGTGTAGGTTCTGCTTTCCTAGAAGTAAGCCGTTTCAGAGTTTAAAAAGCAAGATTAT